GGGTGGGGAATGAGGGCGGAGGGTGAGGTGGGAACTGGGTGGAAGGGAGTTATGGTGGGAAAAGAGTAACAAATATAATAATCTGAACAATAAAGATTTAATTAAAAAAAATAAAAAAAATAAACTCTTCTATCATACCAACGACAGGAAATTCCATTTATTAGAGAAAAGATTAAAATACTGTGCACCAAAAAATAAATAAATAAATAAAATACTGTGCACCAATCCCCTATCAGAATTTTTCCCAAATAAATGAACTATGAGATCCTAGATGAGTGATAAAAATCAACAAAACCAATAAACCCTGTGAAACAGTGAGTGGAGGGAACCAGGGCAGAGAAGAACTTGTAAACCCAAGAGAAGCACAAACATGGTCAAAACAAGCAAAACCTATGACATTAAGATACATTATTAACAAATCTCATGAGGGATTGGGGGTGAGATCCCTTGTTTTTAAATTTAACAGAGCCTTGGTTCAGTGACTGACAACATTACCAACATGCAGGATGAATGATCAAATTAACAAGACTCCCTAGCCGACACTCTACATTAGGACTGTTACCTTGGTCACCACACCTTTTACCTTCCAAGAACGTAACTTAATGCCCAAGGACCTTTTACATACCTTGTAATTCTGGTGAGATTCGAAGTTAGAAAGTGGAGTGTTGCATGCAGTGGAAAAAGGCATGACTTTCATACCTCTATAAACAAGGCCTTTATCATAAAGTTGTTTGAAGACCCACCTATCAAGTAAAGAGACGTTTTAGAATCCTAAATAATAAAATGCTAATATGAAAAATCAACAAAACGGCAGAACAACTCGTCACTATGACGTCCACTGACCACCAGGGGTAGACAGTAAATGCAGGAGCTGCCTCCTCATGGTCTGTGCACTCCCACAGGGAGAATGCCAGTCAGCCAGAAGCTGGGCTCACGGCAGGCGAGTGCAGTGGCGGGAGCCTCTCTTGTCTCTGCGGCAGCGCTAAGGACCCCTTGGAGGATGTCCGACTGCCAGCTTAGGCCCGCTCTCTAAGCTGGTAGTTGGACATCCCCCAAGGGGTATGGACTGTGAGAAGATGCAGGCTGGGCTGAGGGCCCCTCTATCCCCCAGGCACGAATGTCGTGCACCGGGCCTCTAGTAATTATATAACCAAAATTCTCTTTACCCAAAGGCAAATATTTATGCCAGGTTTCATTTATACAGTTTGTGTCAACCACAGACATGAAAACACAATGTTTCTCAACTAAAGATTCACTGGTAAATTACAACAGATCAGAATGAGCCTTTATATAGACATGAAAATGCTATTATCTGTTGACATGGAAACATGTTCATATCTTAATGTTGACTGAAAAAAGTCGACACTATAATGTACAGAAAGGTACCAATTATGCAAAACTGCACATTTCAGTACAGACAGTCCTCGGGTTATATCAGACTTGATGTATGTCGTTTCGTGGTTATGTTGCCATCATACACACACACACACACACACACACACACACACACACACACACACTAGAGGCCCGGTGCACAAAAATTTGTGCACTCAGGGGGTAAGGGGGGGCCCC